TTTCTACTAACTTTAACTTTTCAGTGTTGGAATAATAAAATCCTTTCGAAGGAAAGACATGAAAAGCTAATATTAGCCTGTGAAACATTAGCTCAGAATAATCCAGGAGACTTCAGCAGTTCAGGTCAGAACCTTTCCTGGAACTACCTCTGAAAGGGCAAACGTAACAGAGAGAAGGGACTGAGCAAGATGTAGCCTCAGAAGGAATGTGGAAGCCAATACGGAAGAGTACAGTATCCAGGGGGAAGAGGACAGGCCTAGTTTTGAGAAGCCATGTTAAAAGAACTCAGAAGAATTAAAGGTAGATATCCGAGAATGTATTTAGTGATTTTTTTGGTGGAGAGGGTATCAGGGATTGAGCCTAGGGGGCACTTAACCACTGAGACACATCCTGATATCCCAGCTTTTTTTTTTTTTTTTTTTTTTTGAGACAGGGCCTCACTAAATTTGTTAAAGCTGTCTTTGAAATCGCCATCCTCCTCTTGAGTTGCTGGGATTACAAGTGTGCACCACCACACCCAGATGTATTCAGTATTTTAAAAGGATCCTTGATACACAAAGTTCAAGAACCACAGATCTAAATTCAAAGCCCTGGATTAAGACTTCATTTGATTTTCAGCTAATTCATGGATCAAAGAGTCATAACAGTTCTTTATGTAGGGCCTATGGCTCAGTAATTAACCCTTTATCACCATGATTTGAGGATTAGCACATTGACAGCAATGCATTGGGATTTAATGAAAATAATCAGCTGATAATACAGCACTAATACTTTGATTTCTCTGACTCATGCTAGTCTCCACTGACAAAAGGTGCCACCTTAAAAATAAAAGGTAGGAGAAGAGGTGGGGGGATACATATATGTCAGAGAGAGAGAATTCATGGAACACCAACTAAGTGCCACATGCCGGGCAGTATGCTCTACCTATATCACCTCTTTTAATTTAGTTATGTGTGGTCTTTCCAAAGGTCACAGAGTAGTAGGTGTGAAAAGTTTGCAGCTTTAGTTTTATTGCACCATTAGTTTATGATGTCAAATGCAAATAATTAGAATGAGAACAGCACTTCGTAGATTCCACAGCCTGTACGTTGAACGCTCCATGGTGTCTCTGAAATACACCCACTGGTGGCACCAGGCTCATCACCTGGAATATTTCTAGAATATTCTAAGTTTTGAGGCAGCAACATGTGGTGGAATGAGCTTCTATGAACTTCCAACCTTATCCTGGGCAGATGACCTCACCCTTCTAAACAGCAGATTCCTTAGCAGCAGCATGGGGATGGGGAAGGGGTAGCCACCTCATCAGGTTAGAATGAGGATTACATGAGACAATGTATGAAGGTGTCCTTCTTACAGAAAGCACTCAGATACTATAGCTTCCTTGCCCTCCTCTCCTTTAACATTCTTTAACTTCAAAGGTGGACTAGAAATGACCCCCTCTGTTTATTAGGTACTCTCTCCTCCACATGAGTATTACTAAGCACCTGTATAAAAAGGCCTGAGGGGTTTTGTTTGGTTTGGATTTGCTATGGTTGCTTGTTTCTAATAAGAAAAATGTTTTCATGTGCTTTGATGAAACTGTATTGTGAAACACATGGCGTACAGTGTACCAATCATTAGTAAGAACAAAGAATAACTAAAAAGCTAGAAAGTGTGTCAGTCCCTGAAAGTTGGTCCTGGGCAGGGAGTGGAATCTGTGGTTCTAGCAAGCACCCAGTGGATATAGTTGTAAGTGATTCCCACCAACATTAAGGAATACTGATATCATGGACTTGCAATTGACCCCTGGAATAGCCCTTTGTAAAGGCTACAGCTTCTGTTACAAAATAACATATCAGCAATGAGTCTAAAGGTTCAAAGGATTTAACCTTCAAAATCCATGCCATCTCATACTCTTAAGTCACACTTTATTTAACATGTTTATCTTGATAAAACACCACATTATTAGCCAGTATGTCAGTGTCTACATATTCCATGTTTATGGTAGAGTTAACATATTCTGGGAACATTGCAAACCTCTAAATATAACCATCCCCTCTTTTGTGTCCACTTCCTGGGTGCTAAACTTGCATTTTGAGCCCCTGCCAGTGGTACAGCATATGGAAGTGAGGAACCTACAGGAGGCCCAGGCTGAAAGACGGCAGGCATCTAGCAGCAGTCCCCTCCTTGCTGAAGAAGAGGGCAAGAGTCACCCAGAGAACAGGACTCCAGGCAGAGTCCCCCGGCTACTTCCACCTGACACAGGGAAATGCCTTTTCCTTGTCACCCTAATTCCCTTCTAGATATGTGAAGAAATATAGAAAGATCTGATTTTCAGAAGCTAGTCCAAAATAAGGGAGAAAAAAGAAGGAAAGGGGTGGAGGGATTCCATCAAAACAGAAGAAAGATCAGTGGTCTAGATGAAAGGGACTACGGGGGAAGGAGAAGGGACAGGAGAAGGAAGAACAGGGGGATGACTCTTACCTAACTTTCCTTTCTATGTACATATATGAATGTTTCACAGTGAATCTCTCTATCATGTACATCCACAAGAGATAACTATAAAAAAATTTAAAAACTAAATAGCGGGAATATCAGTAGAGTAGGGGAAAGGGAACTGGGGAAGGCAGGAGAGGAGACAGAAAGGGGAAATACTGGGGACTAAATTAGAGCAAATTATAGTCCATGCTTTTATAATCATGTTAAAATGAATCCTAACATTACATAAAAAGAACCAATGAGAGAGAGAGAGAGAAAGGAAGAAGGAGGAGGAGGAGGAGGAGGAGGAGGAAGAAACAGAAGAAAAATACTGCCAACATGTAACCTAACCCATGAGACCTATTAGAGAAAACTGAGAGAAGGGTTTTCATGGAACTGTCCACTCACCTCTTGCTTCACAGGAGATTCAGCAGCCTGGTTCTGAACCTGCTCAAGATGCTTCCACTTCACACCAAGGGACCCAGAGACACTAGGGAAAAACTGACTTCCCAAGTCCTCTTTGTGTGTGAAGTGTGAGCATGTGCTCCTGGCTTGTGACAGGGTCCCGAAAAGGTTTTGTAGGTATGATAAGAGAGGGAAGGTGCTTGGAAGTGTTGGCGAGGTGGAAACAAGAGGGAGATGCCACAGGGAGTTTTAACTGCCCCAGGAGCAACTCTCCACAACTTCTCAGGAATCCTTGGAAGAAGGCATGGAAAACAATGCAGCTTCAGAAACATCTCTGAGCTTGTTTTCAACCTGCCAGAGAGCTGCCAATCAAGGTGTGCCCTCTTCCAAACAACCATGCACATGATCAGCTCTAGGAAATAAATGTTTCACATGCATAAGAACATCCGCCCAAACACATCTTCTGAACCTCCTCAAGGATGCCAATAACATGGATTCCCTTAATTCTATATCTGAATAGAGATACGTCTATGAGTGCTTGAAACATCCAGATTGCAGATTTGCTTACAATCAAGAACCAGTTTTGGTTGGAGGATGGCTTTTTGCAACTGTCCTTTGCTATCCAAATTTAATTTATGCCCTGCGCTGCCCTTCTCCTTTACCTTCCTCTCTCACAGGACCACACATAGTGAAGGAGTGGGGCATTTTCTTTTCATTACATATCTGTGTTTAAAAGAGAAAGGATATATCAAGTCTGATGCAGGACAAGTTAATCAGTGATAAAAAAAAATGACAACTTACACTTGTTGAGCACTTTATTATCTGCCACCTTGCCACATTTTACATGTATTATCTCTCAGAATCCTCACAACAATCCTATGAACTAGGTATTATTACTATCTTCATTTTCCAGATGAGGAAATCAAGGCTCTGTAAGATTAAGTAACTTGTTCAAGGTCACATGGCGACTAGGCAACAGAGTCAAAATTTGGACCTAAGTTGTCTAGCTTGAGAGCCAAAGACAGAATGATTAAATTACTCAAGAGATGTAATTAGTTTCCATGAACTTCTAATTTAGGCTAAAAGGGTATTCAGCCTTCAGCAGCCACAGTACAGAGCAGACACTTGCCACAGAAGTCATTCTAGTGCAAGAGGCACTATCTCAGAACCTTCCAGACCTCAGAGTAATGGTTATAGGTAAATCTCCCAGGGAAGGCAGCTTTTTTTTTTTCCTTTAACTAAAGGAAAGAGATTAAATGGTATTACATGAGTATCATGCTGAGATTTAAGGATCTCAGTGCTAGCATTGCTGATCTTGAACAGGCAGCTTAAATAAGTTTACCACGTGGGTTTCATTGAAAGAATTAACCTGTTGCCAAGTAAAGTGTCTCAAAGAATTGGAATCTTGTCAAACCAGATTAACACCATGAAATGGTACAATTTAATGAGACACACTATAAATCTCGAGGAATACAACACACAGCTCTCTCTCCAAAGACTGATTTTGCAAGTGATTGGTATCTTTCCTGGATGAGCACAGTGGTAGGTGAAATGCTGCCACTAAAAGCTTTTTCATTAAAAGCTTTTTATTAAATTGGAATAAAATTTCTTCCATCTCAGGTCCCTTTTATTTGTTTGCTTTGTTTTATTTTTTGGAACTGAGGATTGAACCCAGGCATGCTTTACTACTGAGTTACAGCCTCAGTCCTCTTTAATTTTAAGATATTTGCTGAGACTACCCTCAAATTTGGGATCCTCCTGTCTCAGCCTCCCAAGTTACTAGGCTCAATTCCTTTAGAATCATTGTATTATTTAAGGGGGGGGGGGACCTTATAAAGTTACAATCAGGCTAAATAGTTTTGTTTAAGCATCTACCCAATCTCTTGGAGACATAACACATACCCTAAGTATGTAAGATGCTGAAATCAAATTAATTGCTATAAATCATTGCTGAACCTAAAAGATGGGGAGGCAGCACTGATCCTCACAATCAGTGACGGCCCAAGGTCTAATCCAAACTGGATATAGGTGGAGGATAAAGAAGGGAGGGTAGGAGAAAAAAGCAGAAAATTTTGACTTAAAGGAAAAGGAAAGAAATCCAAATTTAGCAATATTTGTTCCTAAGAAAATGACTCACCTGTCTACTGCTTCTACGTCAAAACAAAATCTCTTCTCAATAGAGTCTGTTTTCCTCCGTGTACAGGATTTGAGGGTGACCGATTCATCTTCTCCCTAGTAGGAATAGGTAGACTATCAAGGTGAAGCAGAATGTGGGCTGTTCCTCTCCAGGACAAATGCGGTACCTAAACAGATAACTTTACCCTTTCCAACCTGAGAGTATGTAACCATGTAAGATCAGCCATTGATCATAAAACCTTCTCAGTCCAAAGCCTCCTGCAGCTAAATTTAGGAAACTATTGTACCCAGAGCTAAACGTCTTCAATACTAGTATATAGGGGTGGTATAGTATCAATCCATGGTAGATGAGCACCTGCTGATGTTGTCTTAAACATGTGTGATTTGTGGATTCGATAAGAATTGAAGATGGTCTCCTAACTGTGAGCTTCTGAGTCTTTTCATTAGTCACCACTTCTTCAAGAACACCTTCCTGGATCAGGTCAAATCTCCTCCAAAACAAGCTCACATAGCACCATGTACCTTTCCCTTCCTCACTGTGCTGATCACAGCTGAAGCTGTCCAAAGATGAAGATGTTCAATGATGATTAATGTCTCTCTCCCATTAGACTGTAAGCTCCCTGAGGGCAAAAGACTATTTATGCCTACTCTTGTGTCTCCTGAGATGAACTGGTCCTAGACAGAGTAGGTGTTTTATAAACATTTTAACAGCTTTACTGACCCATAGTATATTATTAAACTACATGTTTAATGTGTAGAATTTATAAGTTTCTATATACTTATACACCCATGAAGTGATCATTACATTTGAACTAACATTTCCATTACCCCCAAAACTTTTCCCCTGTCTTTTGGTCCCCCTTCCCACTTCATCCCTAAGCAACAACTGAATCTGATTTCTGTCACTTCAGGTTAATTTGCATTGTCTATAATTCTGTATAAATGAAACCACATAGTACGTGCTCCTTTTTTATCTGGCTTTTTATACTCAGCCTAATTGCTTGGTGATTTGCCCATGTTGTGCACATGAAGGGTTTGTTTCTTTTTACTGCTGAGTAGTAGAAGTAGAATACAACCATTTTATCTCATATCACTAATTTATTGCCTAGGAACACCAAAGTTGTATCTCCAGTTTCTTCTTTTTCTCTTTAACTTGGGAATTTGTTAGGGTTTCTGTTTCTCCAGCCAATCAATTACTTTTTATTCCCCTAAACGAAGAAAGAAACCAGCAAGCCTGCCTGGTTTGTTGAAATAATAGGAAATGTGACTACATAAGGTAAATTTAGCTACCCACTAATATCAGAGTAGCACACTAAACACTGAAGACCTGGGAAGAGACAGTTTACATTCACGAGTCTTATATCTATTGTCTTTTACTGAATAGCAAAGATTAATTTCTCAGATTGAAAAGTGTTCTTTCTCTCATTTGTAAGACGTATGAGTGTTTTAAATAAAAATTATAAGAGGCCACTGTTTTGGACTAGGCTCCTTTCCTACCCTGGGCCCCAAAGCCTAGACTTAAAGTCAGCATGGAGTCACCCAAGCTAATGTTATTTGTCACTAAATCAAAACCAAGCTGTTTATCTGACCTTCTAAGAAACCAGGAAAAATAAGAGATCAAAGCCAAAATTCCCAAACAAGTTTGTTTCAATTGGCATGATAATAAAGTTCCCTCTGCCTGAGAGGTAACCTGAAGTAGCCTAATGCTGACAGATCTGTTATTTTCTGATTATCTGTCTCCCTGTCCCATCTTTATAAGTAACTGAAATGACCAGTTCACTCTGAGTCCTCTGTTAATGCTTTCTTCAGCCTTTTTCTGTTTTAAAAACTGCTTTGCTCATCAGAACACTTTTTTCTATTTTATGGAAGGAAGTATTGCTTAATTCTAGAATTGAAAATAAAGCCAAGTAAATCTTTAAACTAACTTAAAATTTTGTTCTTTGAAAATAGAAACACCCAACAGGATCAACCAATTTGTTAATGTCTGTATTTCAGATTTACTAGCTCTAGACCAGCTTCTACTTTGAAAGCTCAGATGAAGTATCCTAGAGAAATGGGAGAATATAGGAATCTATAAAGGATCATCAAATATAAGCAGAAAAAGTAGAAAGATGAGGTTCTTGCCCAAGGATGACTATGCCGTATTGGAAAAAAAATCTATAAAAATGTTTGGTTTAACTACTGAGGGTTTAGAAAGTGGCAGATACCGATAATCACTTAAACAAAAAGTTAACAACTTTTTATGACAAATACTGAGAGAGAGTTGGCGGGCTGGGGGTGGGGGGAGGAGGGAGAGGCTGACAGTGTTTAAGCTGAAATGAAAAGGATCTGATGGGGTCAGGAAGGTTAGGGAAGCTGCCCTGAGCTGGGGTCGGGAGGATTCACTGGACACAGAATGAGGAGAACAGGAGCAAGTGGGTGCAGAGGACCTGTGGCCTCAGCAGAGGGTCTTGAAGGAACAGAGGGACACTGGTGTACTGCAAGGCCAGAGTGAGAGGCAGAGAGGAATGGGTATGAGGGAGGCCAGGGCCAGACCATGCAGGAGTCTGGTCTGTATCCTGAGAGCAGCAGGAAAGGACAGAATCAGCATTGGGCTGCTTCAGACCTGCACAGAAGGAGCTCCCTCTCAGAAGGTAGGGTGCCGGGACATTCCTTCACCACATGTGGGCTCCTCTCTCCAAGAGGATGTAGCAAATCTGCTCACAATTCCAGGCCTGAGGCTGAGAGCAAAGTCAGCACTTTTAATGGAAAATAATTCAAATGAAAGGGACAGGGGGGAAGAGGGAAGAAAAATCATGTTAGGAAAAAAACAAAACAAAAAAACACCATGTGATCTATGTCAAGTCTGCTGCCAGTGCCTAGGACAGGTTTGTACAACATGAATGCAGTATCACATGATTCCTCTGAACCAACTGAGAGGACATTACCTCTAGATGGCTAGTCCCCCTACTTCTCTTCACCTGAAAGCTGACAAAGAGTGACATTATGGCTACAGAAACAAGAGACTCAGACTCTGGAATGAGGGGGGTTCAGTCCTAGCTCTGGAACTCCTGAGCGGTATGACACTGGAAATCTGTTGCTCTTTCTGACCCTCAATTTTTCCCTTTGTGAAAGAAGGAAAATTGGATCAAATAGGACAATATTGGATAATAAAAGGAAGTAGAAAACTATAAAATGTAATATAAATGTGAGGAATTATCATTAGGAAGATGAATTACTATAATACCAAGGTCCTAAGATCACACTCATCAGTGTCAAGCTCTGTCCCAAGAAATTGATCTGCACTGACTCGTATAAACCCCTTGACAACCAAGGAGGTGTTTCAGGATCTCGCTGACATCTTTGGAGTCCCAAACACCCATTGCAGTGGTCTCCACTCTTTACTTTCAAGAAAGATAGGTGTAGAGAAAATGCAAGCGCATTTCATTAAATATTTGATAAAGTACAAGATAAAAAGACCCAAAATAAAGACTGTGGGAGAGAATAATTCAGCAAAGGTGATTTCTAGGACTAAGAGTTACAAAAGTTCTCTGACCCCAAGTTAAGCAGGCCTCCTCCAGGTTCATTTCACAGAAACTAGGGAACTCTTCCTAACACAGGTTTATGATATTCCTTCAAAAATACTGTAATTTCTCTATGTATGATATTTTAACATGTCTGCTTTCTTGAGATTATTTACAAGTCAGCCCCTCCTCTGCCAAAAAAACATTAAAAGGGCTTTGTTACTGCTTGGATACAAGGAAGGAACAGAGATGCTGATAAACTTCTCTATTGTGGCTAAAGTAAAAGAAAGCCCGGAAGAGAAATTGGACGTGAAGAGAGCAAAGGGCACAGCATGGCTGAGCAGCTACAGTGATAATGACTGTACCTAACGCCACCAACCTGAGATCTGGTGCAGCCAGTGTTATACACGTGAACACTGTGGTCCCATGCACACCTCCCAACACACTGCACAAAGAGGCACCAGAGAGAGGGCCAAGGTGCCAGGATTGCATAGGACTCATTTATCAATGATTAGATACAACTCAAAAATACTTAAAACTACAAATAGAACCAGGGTTGGGCTGTAGCTCAGCCATAGAGTGCTTGCCTAGTATGCATGAAGCACTGGGCTCAGTTCCCAGAGAGAGGAAAAACATAAATACTTATTAAAAACATTTAAACATCTCCAGAAGGAAATAACAGTAAGAATGAGAAGCAAAATTCAAAGTGATAATCAGCAAGAATTTTCTAGCTATTAAAAAAAAATACCCACAAATCAAAAGACCAAAAATTCCAAGCAATGGATTTTTTTTAAGTTCAAAACTAGGATAATCATAATGTAACGTAAAACACTAGATGAAGAAGAGAAGGTAGTAAGAATAGCAGGAGACAGAAGACAGATCACTCCACAGGACATTGGCACCATTGAGAGTTCCCATCAAAGGCTGATTGGCAGGAGGCAAGGAGATATCTGTGTATAAGGGAAGAATATTAGAGATTCTAGCAGCTGTGGGACAGGGCCCCAGGGAGCCTGATGTGGCATTATAGTCTCTTCCAAAGATGACCATGGAATATCTTCATTCCCAAATGCTCTTGACACAATAAGCATCGGAAGTCCTGCCACAAAGAGACAGGGTCTGCACCCTCTCCTATGGGAACTTTGTGGGCTCTTGTGACCGTTCCAACCAACAGAAAGGTGCAAGTAAGGGTAATGACTTCTGGGGTTAGGTTGTGAAAAAGCAGTACAGTGCCTGTGTAAACTGCTAGAATATCCACTGCTGAAGCCTGCAGTCGCTCTGAGCCCATCTGCATAGTGATGCTGTCAGGAAGCCAAAAGTTGCCTATATGGGGAGACAGATAGGCAGGTCCTAAGACCATAGAGACAGGGGGAGAGTGGGGGCAAGAGGAGGGGACAGAAGGAACCCAGGAAAGAGGAAGAGGGCTCTGTGTGGCCAGCCTTGAGCTGCTTCAGACCCACAGACTTTCCACTCTACTACCATCTGGTTGGAACCAATTGAGAACTGAGCTTGAATCACTTACTCAAATGCTCCCCAAATTCCTGACCCACAGAAACAATGAGACATACTAAAATAGCTGGTGTGGCTGTCAAAGTTGCTTAGTTTTGGGGTGACTTGTTATACAGCAATAGATAACTGGAACATCTAAACTGCCAAATGGCAGCTCTCCAGGGATCAAGTGAGACTAACGTGAATCAGCTTCCTAGGAGGAGGTCATCCAAGACTTTTCAGCTTCTAAAAACATCTGACACATTTAATATCATGTACATGTGAAATATAAGCATCTTTCTTAATTGCAGTTCCCAACATAACTTAGAGCTAAGAATATTCATCTTATTTTAGTTATCTTCAGGATACCAGGCCTTCTGGAACTACTGTATAAAAACTAAGAGAATTACAGTGAAACACTGGAAATGTTACTTAATGTTCACATTATAATCATTATCTGTTAGCCAAGCAAATCAAGCATGAAATTTAAAAAAGGAACTCACCCCCTTTCCTCCTGACTTTTGGTCAAATGGTACCATAGTGATTTGTTTGGAATCTCGTTGATATGTACAGTAGTGCTTCACCCAAGAAGTTCCAAAGTGACCTGCAAGGTAACATTGCCTGTTAAACATCCGTACTTGCCCACTGTGTGCTGCCCACCATTAACTGCAGAAACATATAGCCCACCACCCATAATGCTCACCTACCCTGTTTGAGGGCAATGGATTCTCCACACAGCTAGACTGAAACAGACAAAAATCTGATCCCACAGGCTGGAAATGGAACCAGCCCAAGGCTTTCCCCCAGAGGCTCAAGAGCTCTATTTCCCACTAAAACTCTCTCCATTGGGTCTTTAAATGTAAGGGAAGTAGAGGTTCCCTAGGGAAATTAATTCACATTCCCATCATCAATCTCCATTTGGAGTTTCTGCTCTCTTTCCTGACTGGAGTAAGATGCTAAGGAAAGAACCCAGAAAGGCTCCTCCAAGTGCCTGTCACCATTCCCAACTGGGACGATGACATCAGGCTTCCCACACAGCTGCTCGGTGACTCTGTGCACAGACACTGGGGGTTCTGACCTACTTCCAAACCCCTCATATTTACTTTGGCAGAAGGAAAAATGATTGGGAAAGCAGACAGTGATACCTAAGAAACACCAGAGGTACAGAGTGGAAGTGACTGAAAGGCTCAAACGTAATCTAAGGAGCTGTTTCTCAAAATTGTCCCTCAGGGAAAGGGAGACGCCATAGAGCGGAGGTCTAATGAGACCTCTGACTTCACTCACTACTCAGCCTATATTTTGAACAACAGAACAGTATGAGATGAAGAAGGCATTACCAGCCTGCAACAGCCTCAATCAAGAGCTCTCGTTCTAGATGTTTACAGAGATCAAATAGCAGAAATGGTTAAAAATTTTAAAAGCATAAAAAGGGAATCAGTAGACATTTAATAATTATTAATGGTGTGTCATGACTGCCAACTGCAACTGCTAGAAGCCACTTGGTAAACGTAAAAGGCAAGACGTGAGTGTTCACAATAGGGCGTCAAGCACAAATGAAACGCCAACCACCCAAATGCATTCTGTGGCTTAGAGGGAAGTTCCAGTGACTACACGACATGAGGTTCCAGGAGAGCTTTGTATTGGCCAATTTAAGCATCAAGATAAATAAAGACAGTAATGGATTATAGCCTACTGAATGAAAGTTCATATTGCCAATGGAAAGACAGAGGGACAGACAGAAGAGTGAACTGGAAGAGTGGGAGGGAGAGAGAAAGGAAGGGAAGGGAGGACACTGAATGGCAACTACTAAATATGGAAGGAGAGGCAGAGCTGGGAAAGCACCATCTGTCAAGCGTCACAAAGTTGGGTCCGGCATGAGTCATTGGACACGAAGTCTACAGAGAGCAAAGTGTGGAAAGGAGTGACTAGGGAAAAAGCAGTGACTAGTCAGTGCAGAGACCAGATCACACCTTGTGTGGATGATCAAATTAACAGCATCATCAAGGAGATGGAGGGATGTGGCCCTGAGGGGAAGAACATAGCACTACACATGCAGGCCTGAGCTGGAGATGATCAGATGACCCAAATCTAATCACGAGGAAACATCAGTCAGACCCACACAGAATCAAATTCTATAAAGGAATTGGATCATGTCCTTTAAAAACTTTGGGGTCATGAAAGACAAAGAAAGGCTGAAGAATGGTTGTGGATTGGCAGGAACTAGAGACATGACAACTACATCCAGCACACAAGTAAGTAATGGAGGAAACAATGCTTTGTAAGGGCTTTATGGGGACAAGTGACCTACTGAAATATGAGCTGTAGTTTAAATGCTGTATCAATATTCCATCCCTTGGATGTGGTGACATAAATGAATATCCCTATCCTTAAAAATTCTGAAGTGAAGGAGCATGGATTAGGCAACCTGCTCTTGAATGGTTCAGAAAAAGAGGGTATGTGTATCTATGTGTATGTGCACACACACGTGAGCACAGAAAGCAAGATATATATATATATATATATATATATATATATATATATATATGTGTGTGTGTGTGTGTGTGTGTGTGTATATATATATATATATATATATAGATATATGATTGTGGCATACAAAGAGAAAAAATGATATAACTATAGCAAAATGCTAAAAATTGGTCCATCTGAGTAAATTCTCATATTTCCCCTTAAATCATTCTTATGATTTTTTTATATGTTTGCAATGTTTCAAAACAATAAGTTACCAAAAGTTTAACATAAAAAATGATGCACCTCAATGAAATACTCTAGACTACTGTGTTAGAGAACCATAAAAAGTGGTTCTAAGGATAATCAACACGTTGATGTCAAACAAGCATGTGCAGGGTGTGGAACAAAACTATAATGTCATGTGAGAATGCAAGAAAGCAATATCGTTTTATGTAACATGTAAATTAAGCATTGTAATGGACACTGAACGACATTGAAAGCCCTAAAAATTTGTATTTTCAAGTTGACCCTAAAACTTCTTGGCAGGGTAGGGGGTGTGATATATCTTCTCTTTTGGGGAAAAAACAACAACAACAACAACAATTGGAAACTTTGATTTAGGAAGTGAAACTCACAACTGAAGTAGCTTCCACTTCTTATGAACCTCTACCAGCTCCTCCCTGTAAGAATAAGGAACGTGACCCCCACATCACAACCAGTCCATCCACTCCCACTGCTACCCCACTGTTTCCAGGGGAAACTCTTACGTCCAAGCAAATTTTTAGTAATTGCTGAAAAGAATAATCACTACAGCCAAATGTTTCTAATCCATTCCATCAGGAAGCTGTATGAGTGAAGATATTTGCGTAACAAGAGGACCCAGAAGAATGCAGAACCAGCACAAATCTGGAGAGACTTGCTCCTAGGAAAGCAAGGAGGGAGAGCCGGAGAAGTACCATGAAAGAAAACAATTGAACCTTTCTCACTCCTGGAATTGCATGTATGCAGTAAGCCTACAAGTGCCACCTCAGTAGCACAGTCCCACTACAGAGCCATTCCCTAGACCTCTGGCATGAATCTGTGTCATTGCTAAACACTTCCTGCTAGCAGCACCTGGCATCTCTCCTTGACATCATTATCAGTAGAACAGTGGGTCTCCTTCCTGGCTCTCAAAGGGAGCTTTTGTTTCTACTTTTCATAAAACTCAAGTATTAGGATGAAAGAATAAAAGAAAAAGGGCCTAAGTCATGACTTGGAAAGAGAATCACCAAGTATTAGGTCTCCCAAAGGATCTGACCACTGAGAGACAAGAAGGTCTAGCATGTGAGACCTTTCCAAGGACCCTGCACTGAGGGTACAGGATGCTGCACAGGGACACTAGAGAAGAGAATCCCTCAGGGAATCCAGGTTCCCAGGGAGATACCCACTCACAACAAATCCAGAATACGCCACTAGGAGGTGGGCAAGATTTTGTAGACCTCACCTTTCCCCTTGGAAGCTGCACCATACCATTACCAGCCCCTCCCCCAGCATGTACTCAGTAGGCCAGGCACTACTGGACACACTCTCCACCTTCTGGACAGAGGGCCTCCGTGTCCTGCTGCTGGCAGGCAGCACACTCACGTTTCTCCTGAACATAGAGGTACCCCTCCATGGTGTAGGGGCTGATGGTCTTGTGCTCTAGGGGGTTCTCCTTCATCTTCTTCATCAGGGATTCCACCTCTGACCTGGTGCCTTCAAAGCGGTTTCTTGTCTAGGATAAAAGGAATTTGACTCAAATGAAAGAAATGAAATCTCTAACAATTCACAAGATCAATCCAATAGAATTCATAGACCTAAAACCAGAGAAGGGTCACTCATCCCTCCAAGAACTGAGTGAATATTCATTTATAAGAAGTGTCGTATTCCAGTCCCACACCTAAATGACTCACAAACTAGATCAAAATCACCCAGGACACCTGAGAAAATGCAAATGCCCAGGCCTAATTGAGCCTAATTACTCTCTCTCACCTAGAGATCAACTTAGAACAGCTGGGCCTAAAACATGCATTTTAGACAGCAGCCCAGGCGATTCCGACTTAGGGGCCTGCACACCTTCAGGACTTGAGGGCCTCTGTTCTCCAGTGCAGAGAGGGATGCCTGATGATGGCTCACAGATGGGCCCCTGAGCTGCTGCACTCAAGGCCACCCCCTATCCAGAGCAGCCTGTATTCCTGACTTCTACTCAGGCCACTCTTAGGTCCACTCAGCCCCAGAGCACATGGCACAGCTCAGCCTGCCCTGCCATCCTCCTTGCTCCTCTCTCACAGGGGCTGCCATGGCACTCCAGGGAATCTGCTGCATATCAACTTCCATTCCAGAGGCAACCTTCAGAAGAACCCAGTCTAAGGTAAAGCTACCCTCTGTGAAATCTTTTCTGAGACTTTGCATTTCCTGTTCTCTGAGATGATGCAGAGAACCACATAGGCTCCAGACTCCTAAAGGCTGTGTGACACAGCCCACTCAGAAACACTGGGGTCTATTTCCTACACAAGAGCAACGAGAGGCAATATAAAAGTCAACAAGTCCCATCACATAGTGAAGAAGGCAGCTAGAGCCCCGGTAACTGCTCTGTGCACCAAAACGTACTGTGTGTAAAACCTGGAAGGTGACTAGGAGTGATCATACTGACCTGGACTTCCGGCCAGCCCTCCTAAGAGTTGGAAAAGTGCACATCCTTTGAGCTTGTGTCCCCAGTCCTGAACACACACACTAAGGTTTCATGTGGCCAGGCAGCTAGATGCATAGAAGGGAGGCTGGGCTGGGCTTTCCAAGGCCAAAGGAAATCCTGATTTTGGTGCTGCTGATTTAAGACATAATCAGAAGCAGCACTTCCCTGAACATAAATAGTGCTTTGACATAATGGAGAAGAGCATGATGGTCTGCCTCAAGGCCACCCAGCACTCTGGAAGTGCCTGCCCCCAGCTGCCCTCTGAACCAGGCAGGACCCACCCTCCTCACCTATGTCCCAGCCCAGCTCCCTAGCAACCAGACCCATACTTTGTGTTTTTCTTTCTTTAACCAGAGAAAGGAAGTCTGTCCCTGTGGCCACTCACATTCTGTATGCTAATGGTCAACTGTGTCTTGAAGTCACCAAAATCCTTGGCCAGTTCATAACCATGGTGATAGAAAGTGAAGAGTCCTTGCAGGAAGGCCAGCAGCTATAAAGAAAGAAGAAAGACTGGTTTCAAAAGGTAGAACAATGATAATGGCTGACATATACTGAATACCATTTCTGTGCTAGGCACTGTGCCCTTCCATACCTTGCCTCACTGAATACTCACAATAATCTATGGCCTAAGCACTCCTGTTACTCCATTTTAATAATAAGGAAGCATATTCAGGGAGATTAAATAACTTGCCCAAAACACACATAAGTGGGAGCCAGGAATGAAGCCAGGTCTCCTTTGCATCAACACTCATGGGCTGAGCCTGTAAGCCTCATCATCGCCATAGAACATTAGTTCTTCAGAGAAGAAAGACCAGGGCTACAGCTCAGTTTCCTTTGAGTACATTTGTAATATCAGGTTTTGATGTAGAACAGGAAGGGAACAAAGGAAGCTGGTATGGTCTGAGTCTGCAGTCTAACAGGCAAAGTCAAGGTGTGTTTCTGTGCTTTCCCTAAAAAATCCCAAAGTAAACACTATAAACACCTTTATTAAAATAGTGCCACATTTTCAGGTATAATGGCTTCCCTCCATTTTAATCCCCTCAGGCTAAAAGGCTAGTTCATTCATTGTTTAGTCTTGTGTGTAGTGAATGGTGAAAACAGCTGACCACCATGATCGCACAGCACACCTCCATGTACTCAAAACCCACCCCCTCCCAGAGCCCCAGCCAGCCTCCACTGCTCCAAAATAAACAAACATTTTTCCTTTGGTCTTTCCTTAAGAGCCTAAATCCAAAACTCACTGTTTTGCTTTCTTGGCCCCTTCCCAAGTCCTCCACATCTTGCCTCAGTTCCAAATTTTGACCCAAAGAAACAATCATAATAAAAGACTGGACAAATCTGAGAAGCACCGCGCCTTCCCTGTCATGAGCTCAGCTCTCCACATGCAGAGACCATCCCTGTCCTGCAAAGACTGAACCCAGAGCCTGGAACACACCAGGTGAGCGCTCCACCACTGAGCCACATGCCCAGTCCTCTGACACATTTTCTTAGTGGCCCACTCTGACCTTCCTGACCTGCTCCTACCACATATTACACCAAGACACACTGGCTTTAGTTTATGTTGTTGTATTTGACTTTTCCATCCCTAAATGAACACACTTTATGTGTTAAACATAATCCCAAGCCCATTTATCTTTACCAGACTCTGCTTTCCGAGAGGCAGCTCTGATAATGATGGTGAAGGGCTCTCTCACATCCAGCAGTGGTAAGCACCAAGGAAGGTAACTATCCACCTGAACCCAGGGGGCCTGCCTGCATGGCAAGCCACATGGCCCACTGATTTATCAGAGCTCTGTAGTGGAACATCAAACATCATCCAGGCTATAACAATGTGGTACATTGAGTTCCTACTGCCAGGGTTCCCAGCACATCTGTGCCCTTGGATTCTCATGGGAGCACATACAGCTGGATCCTCTGGCTATGAAAAGATCTAGAGTACCGTGTACATCCCTGACATAAATCCACGAATGAGTGGACAGTCAGAGAGAGTCACCAAGTACCAAAAATGAACTATTTTCTTCAAAGATGACCAAACCCTTTGGACTAACTCCATATAAAGTATTTTTCTGAGAGGAGGGCCTGTGTCTTTCCTTCTAGATGGATCCAGTAACAGAGGAGAAAGGGCTCTTCTGCCAAAACTAGTTCCGTCATTCACAAAAAGGTAAACTGTTCCTCACCTCTTCTTACCTTTGTCCTCTCCATAGATTACCAATACTGGATCCTATCACTTTTCCAAAGCACTAAGCCAACCCTATTTGATGAGTGATGAAACAAGACCCGGCCCTAAATTCTAAGGTCATTTCTTCCTATTAACTCTGATTTTCCTTCACTTAAAGTAAACAGGGCCTCTCTTGCTCAGGGCAATTACACATTCTCAAACAACTCACTAAAATGTCACCTGGGCATATACACAAGTGCTCCAGAGGCAGAGTTAATAATATTTATTTTGGTTTCACTTCCTTTGGTCTCATGCCTGCCTGTCCATTTTTCTACGGGAAATGATTCCTTAGATACTATTATTTTTGGCCTGCTTTCTCTTCCTTCTCCCTGCACAGCACCTTCTCTCTCCTCCCTCACCTCCTATGTCCCCTCCCACATGCTGCATGAACCTTTGAACCTGTTACCAGTGGGAAATGGAAGTCCACTCCTCAGGGGGCAGGGTGAGGCCCACAGAAGGACTCCAGAGATGGGGAGGATCTGCCTGCTTCAAAGAAATGCTTCTATCAAACACAAGGAGGAAGAGCTTGCTGGAGCCCCACCTGTTAACCAGATAGAGTGGTCAGCTCATCCACTGAGCAGCCACAGAATCACACACTTCTGCTGCCTCCCCTTGCCTTCTTCCCCTTCCATACTCAGACAACGACTGTAAGCAAAACCTACTCCTACTTCCTAACAGGGACCATATTTTTTAGAACAAAACTGGAACTGCTTGAGATACATCATTTTGAACTCTGATAAACTCAGGTTGCTACCACTCACAGAACAGAATGATTATTATGTGCTGAATTGTACCCCCTAAAGCATAAGGACCCAAAGGACCTCAGAACATAGCCTTACTTAGAAACAGGTCTTTACAGAGGTGGTCAAGTAACTGTATGGTCATCAGGGTGGGCACTAATAGTTTTATAAGAATAACATGACTGATGTCCTATAAAAGAGGAAATTGGGACACAGAGACAGACATGCACAGCAGGAAGATGTCCCTGTGAAGGGAGAGGACTGCCAAAGATCGTGGGCAAATCACCAAAAGCCAGAAGAAGAAAGATCCTTTCCCTGTTGGTTTCAGAAGAAGCATGGCCCTGCTAACACCTCAGCTTCAAACATCCAGCCTCTCAAACTGTGAGACAATAGATTTCTGCTGTGTTAAGCCAGCCTGTTTGTGGTCCTTTGTTACAGCAGCCCCAGCAAACTCATACAGCTACCAAGAATCATTACTCATGCAACAAAGACCACAGCCAGTAGCCAAGCCACAGGGCTCTCTTTAACTCATCTTTAACAGGAGGAGTATAGTGATGGTATGTATTAGTGCACAGGTGAGGTGAAGGTTAATTCGGATCACCTATAGAGTGGGCTTAGCATAGGAGTGCTGTCAGGGGCTGTTCTGCAAGAGAGGCATAGAATCAGACTGTGTTAGAAGATGCAATATGGTCCAGGCCAGATGAGGAAGGAGGAAGCCCAAGACAGAATACAACAGACAACAGGAAAGAATAGAGCTAAAATGGAACAGAAGAGAGGGAAGGAGAGGAAGATAGAGCACCAAGAAACACTGAGGAGGAGAAACCCAAGACACAGTGCTCAATGAATGTGGAGAACAAGTTCTCTGTAGCACTAACCAACCTTCAATTATGAAAACTCAGGGGATGGAGGAGTATGGCTCAGCTTCATGCAGTCTGTGTGCATCATATCTGCAATCCACATCTCCAGAACATCTGGTATCTCAACAAGAATATAAAGGCTTCCTGCATGTACATATAGGGATGTGTGTGTATGTGTGCATATGTGTGCACGCGCATGTGTATGCATACACAAGCACACAAGTATGCATGCATGTTTAAAGCCTGTAAGTCTGATTTTTCTTCTTTGGAATACTAAAAACATTTTTTATATTTATGAAGGTAAGTAATGTCCTGGCACTTTAATGCACTTTCTAAGAAACAAATGAAGGGGCTGAGGTTGTGGCTCAGTGGTCAAGTGTTTGCCTAGCATGTGTGAGGCACTGGGTTCGATTCTCAGTACTGCATATAAATTAAAAAAAAAAAAAAAAGTCCATTGGCAAAGAAAGAAAGAAACAAACAAATGTAATGGTCCAGGCACACAGTGTTTCTTTGAAAAGCTGGAAGATTCCTTTGATTACAACCAACACCCAAGCACCCCAACAATTCGGTTCAATAGATTTTTTGCAGGGGTCACGTCTATATGTGTTTCCATTTTTTCATCCAAAAATAGAAATAAAAACAGTACCTACCCTCAGAGATGCTATAAGATTGAATGATATAATGTAGGTAAAGGGCTTAGCTCAGTACATGGCAAGGTTTCAACCAAGATCATCAATGGCTACTTCATGTTCTCCTTTGTACAATTCTAAGCCAGTGGCTCAAACTGCCAGGTGCAGCAGAATCACCTGGAAGGCTTACTAAAACAAAGACTGCTGGGCCTGGCCCTTAAATTTCAGGGCTTGGGCAGAGTCTGAGAGTTCCCTATTTCTAACACTAAGAACTGCTTATCTCATCATTAGCCCTGTATAAATAGAGTAGTCCATGCTTATCCATAGGAATACCTTCTAAGACCCCCAGTGGATACCAGAAATCACAGATTTCCTATATATATGTATCTATGATAAAGTTTGATTTATAAACTGCAATAAGATGAACTAAAAGAGAAGAATGAAAACAACATACTGTAATGTATATTGCTATGTACTGCATAAGTTATGTGGTCTTTTTCCCTCTCAGAATGTCTTACTATACCACATCTCCCTTCTTCTTGTGATGATATGAGGACGATTTGATGCCCACAGGAAGAGATGAAGCAAGATGAATGATGCAGCATTGTGAGGTAGTGTTAGGCTGCTGGAAGGGTTACTGGAACACAAGCCCTATGATGCCACTGAACTGTGACCATCAATCTGATGCCTGAGAGGCCTACGTGATTAATAGGCAGGCAGCAGATACAACATGATTCGCATCCTCAAGTGCCAGGCAGAAGGGAGAGGGACTGTGTGAGCAGTCGTAACACTACTCAGAAAGATGCTCAATTTAAAACTTATGAGTTGTTTATTTCAGAAAACTTCACTTGATATATCTGGACCACAAATGACAGGGGGTAATGAAACCACCAATAAAATGGCTGCTCCTTAAACCACTGACCTGCTAGACGCTGGGATGATCAGAGACAAGAACGTCCACAGAAAGAGAAGGCTAAACATCCGAATCCTAATCCAGCCTCTCAACCAACTCATTTCGTTTAACTTTGGGGAAATCCTCATTACTTTTTCTTTGCCCTAATGTGAGACTGGAAAATTCTTTCCATTAACTCTCCAGGTACCTCACTCTGTGCCCTGAAAAGCATCTGCAAACTGCAATAACTCTACTCTTTAAATCCCTCTGGCACTTCTACATCATCCAGGCCGTCCACCCTGTTGCTGACCTGCTTGCTGCCATGGCTGGCTTTCCACTCTCCAATGCTTATTTTCCCAGTAGGACTGTGAGCTCTTCAGATACCGCCGCTGGGATGTCAGTACTTTCCATGGCAGTCAGTAAATATATGCTTTTAGACATATCAAAACCATTTGTATTAAAACATGTAAGCCCATAAATTAAAAAAAAAAAAATTCTAAATTTTCAATTGAGCTAATCAGATTCTGTTCTAAGCACCTTACTTGGATCAACTCAGTCAATATCCTTGCAGCACCTTTAAAAGGTAAGTGGTACTGTTAGCCAATTTTGTATATGAGTAAAGTGAGGCTCAGAGAAATAGCTTGCCCAAGAACTCACAGCTAGTACATGAGGGGGCACCGATTTAAATTCAGACCATCCTTAACATGATGCTACTGCCTCTTCAAGTGAGAACTCCCTAAGACACTGACACAATACAAGAGCATTCCAGGAAATAGAACGGTAAATCTTTGTCTTTTTTTTTTTTTTTTAAGGAAGAGGCGGGATAAGAGAAGGAGAAGGAAGGGAGTGGGAAAGGAGATGGAAAACCAGGCCAGATGAGCAAAGCCATCCAGCTAAGCCCAGCCTAGATGAACTGAATCTCACGGACATGTGAGAAATAACTTCTACTATGTGTGAGGCTTCATGGTTGTCACTTAGCAAAAGTTAACAGATAAAATCCCTGATACTCTAGGTACACCTACTAACAGATCAAAGAGGGTAACAAAAAAACTCACCTCAAAAAAGCCAGATGGGCCAATTTGAATAAAAGTTATCAAACGCAATTACAGAATAATATTGGTCAATACAAACATAAAGATTATTAGAACTGCAAATAAAAACAATGCTAAAGGCAAATTCTATTTGATAGCATTAGAACTCCTGCCCTGATCGCAGGAAATGAGCCTAGCAAGTCTACATGACTAAAGTAGAAATGGCAACAGAAAACAGTTTACTAAAAAAGGCGGGGGTGGGGGGGCATTTTCTTTCAGTTCCTCATACTTTTATTCTTTTTTGCTTAAGAAAATTACCCTTTCTTAAATCTAAGTAGACCAGAATCTTATTTGTACAGAGTCCCCAGGCTTGTGTCTAAATCAGAGGCTACCTTTTGGCTGAAAAATCCAAGGTCTGCAGGAGTTCTAAACCGATGCCCATGTGTTATTTTGATGTCTCCATGAAGTCTTCCTGCTGTGGACTCTGCACACAAGTGCCACAGAAAACAGCGAGGCACCACATCTGAACACAGCCACAACCACAGCATCTAGTCAGACTTTTTCCCCACACCGCAATGTTTCATGCCCACTAGAACATTCTGCCCAAGTCCAGATTTCATCACGGTCCACTGTAGAATCTCTACGCTGCTCTGGTCATGAAAAAAATTCAGTTTGAGAAATGCCTGAATGGGGTAAGGAAGGGCTCTGAACCCCGGGATTTTTTTAAAAAAAGATACATGTTTAAAAGATATAATAAATTCTGATATTTCCAGGGTTATGTTATGGTTTCAATATAAGGTGTCTCCCAAAAGCTCATGTTTGAGACAATGAAGAAAGGTTTAGAGGTGAAATGATTGGGTTATGGGAGCCTAAACCCAAACAGTTAGTTAATCCACTAATACGGATTAAGGGTGGTAACAGTAGGCAGGTAGGGTAGGTCACTGGAGGCATGTCTTAGGGTATATATTTTGTCTTTGTTGAGGGAAGCCAGAACCTGTGACTGGTGCTTCTCTCTCTCTCTCTCTCTCTCTCTCTCTCTCTCTCTCTCTCTCTATCTCTCTCTCTCTCTCCCTCTCCCTCCCTCTCCCCCCTCCCTCTCCCCCCTCCCTAGTGCAATGTCTTGAACCACTTTCCTCCACCACACTCTTTCACCATGATGGCTCTGAGGAATGGAGCCAGCCATCTATAGACTGAGACCTTTGAAATCATGAGTGCCAAATAAACTTTTCCTCCTCTAATAAAACTGTGTCAGGTCTTTTGGTCACAGCAGTGAAAAAGCTGACTAAAGTTACTATTGCATTTGGATTATTTGATGGAGAGAGGATGGGTGGCAGAAAAGAAGAAAGCTAAGTCATGATCATTATTTCACAGCAAGATGAGAACGCCTCCCCTCTGAGAAACCACCTGGGGCTTCTTTCACCAGAAGACCAAACAGCACAGGGCCAGGTGGCTACAGGAAGGAACTCTGCCAAGTGCTCTATCACCATCACTGAGGTGCACAGGGACAGCTGCAGGAGACACCAGGGTAGCTGAACTGAGAAAGTGATGTCTTAGCCAAAGGCACAGCCCAGAACTGGTCAGCAACACAGAGCATTCTGCAACCCACCAGGCAGCTGGAAAGAAAGGTGGGAATGAAAGTCTGGGTACACCCCCAAGCCCTGAATGTCTACTTACAGGCTCCACAAACTCAAACATCTTTCTCTCTTGGACTTCCTGCACCTTGAAGACATACTCCAGGGATACTTCGTAGAAATGCTGCCGGACCAGGTCCACTTGGCTGTCGGCCTACAAACAAGATGGAATGTAAGAGAGAAATTGAGTCACTAACCAAGGACAACAGTGAGCAAGCAGAAAAAAATCTCTAGATTTTTAAAACAAATCAAATAACATGACACCGAAATAAGAATAACAACAATGGTTAACAGAACACTAACTTTGTGCCGGGCACCAGATCCATGCTTGTACATACACTAGTTAACCATCACTAATTTTAATTATATAATCCTTATTAAATTTCTATAAAGATATATTATCTTTATCTCTAATTTGCAGGAGGAAAATCAAGTCCAATGAAGGTCGCAGAGCTGGGACTCCTGTCCTGGTGCATCTGCCCCCAAGAACCTCAATCACTGTCCGGCCACAATGCTCTACCACCTCCTTGGACCAGAGGGGAACCTGGGCTCCAGAGCAGGCAGGTTTTTAGAGTGAAAAAGAAAATCTGTAGGGCCATCCTCACCCTGTCCCTCCTCATGAACAAAACAAGCTGTTAGAGGAAAGGGAACCCCAGACAGGGCATTCATTTTTACATGTGTCCCAAATACTGTGACAAAAAAACTGTCACTTTACCTCAAGGAGAGTAATGGCATTGCTCCCCCTGGCTCTCACTTCTCCCTCTGTGCAGGAGATGTCCGGGACAGGCCCATGGGTGGGTGCAATTAAATCACAGACCTGGGCTCCAGACAGGGAGAAAACCAGTCTAGACGGAGTGGCAGGACACTATGCCAAAGGATACCCAACCTTCACCCTCAACCACAACACTTTATGGGAAGCAGATTTCAATGATGAAACACTATACAAATGAACATACGTACTAGTAGGAGACAAAACACTATTTTCCTTAGAAACAAGTCAGGAACAATTCTATAACGTACTGTACTAAGATAAACAAAGCTCCCCAAAGAACATTTCTACTTGTTCCTTTGTCAAGATTCCTGCAGAAGAAATTTGGGACAAACCCTTACTTCTATTATTCCAAATATGGTGCTACACTAACACCTTAAGAACTTAGCAATTCATTCCTTCACTCAACTATCTCAAGCAAAAAGAAACTTTCTTCATGGAGCTTACAATATAGTGAAGAAAAAAGCAGAAAACAAACTCAGTCAAATGATCATGTAAATAAAGAGAAAATCAAAAGCTCTAGTAAAATACAAGACACTTGATTTTTTATTATTTATTTATTTGTTTGTTTGTTTGTTTTGGTACTAGGGATTGAACTCAGGAACACTCAACCACTGAGCCACATCCCCAGCCCTTTTTTATATTTTTTTATTTAGAGACAGGGTCTCACTGAGTAGCTTAGCGCCTCACAGTTGCTGAGGCTAGCTTTGAACTTGCAATCCTCCTGCATCAGCCTCTGAGCCACTGGGATTACAGGCATGTACCATCATGCCCGGCTATGACACCATGATTCAAGTCTTGTACTACCAAGCTCCTCCTACAGGGTAACCCACATGCTAATACACAGAGGCTGGTCTGCTGAGCAACTGCTGAATAAAACTGAAGGGCCAAGATAGGGGGCGCTGTGCAAGCCTCCAGTGAGGGGAAGGAGGAAGGAGGTCTTTATCTGGAAGCAAGATTTCAGAAGGCCCCATACCCTGCCTCCCCTAGGTGTGGCTGCTTAGGTGACTGGGCTGACACCATCTACCTGGGCTCCTCCAGCCACGCCCAATATGTTCCCTCTAAGTTTAATGTTCTTGGAGATTTAAATAAATAATATTAAGTAAATCCAACACATCTACACTGAAGGATGCATCTTCTTCCTCGACCTTCCCATACAGGCCTCACATTCTCCCTGGGCTTGCCAACTCAGACTGTAGGCTAGGGTAGGGGATGAGGGGCTTATTCTGAATATCTGCAAAGGGCCTATTGCAATTTAGGCAGGGACACAGAATCAACTCCAGTATCCCTCAGAGAGCTGACCTAGGTCAACATTCCAGTTCTAGAATTTTCCTGCCTACAGTCACTGATCCTGCCTGGAAGATGGAGACAATAATGTCAGTCCTTGCCTCAGAGTGAAGCTGATTCGTAAGAGTAAATGGACCAAAGGATGTGAACAATGTGGAAAAAAGGGAAAGTGTCCCGTGCAAGTTGGCTGTTAAAACCACCAGGAACCTCTGCGCACTGGGCTGCAATCCCTGCTCCCACCATGAACCAGCCACACTGTCCCCAGGTCACTGCACTTTTCTCCTAACTGCTCTCCCCACCTGTGTTCTCTCACCTGCCTGGCCTCTGCCCAGCAGCCAGCACACATTTCTTGGAATCCCAATCAGAGGTCTCTCAGCCCCTTTGAGACCTTCCCCATGCTGCCCCATGGTGTGAAGACCCTGGGAGCTCTGCCCACTCCTCTGGCCTCCCCTCCACCCATCCTAACCCACCCTGACTGTGCCCCAGCCTTTGGATTCCTCCTGCCCTCTAATACCCCAAGCCCCCTTCCTGCCCACAACCTCATTTGGTGTTTCTTCTGCCTGAAAACCTCTTCCCCCTCCTTCTTCACAGTAAGAAATACTTTTTATGTTATGACCCAATAAACACACATTTTAATTTAAATATAATGCATATTTTTCATTCTTTCTGACTCAACTCTATTTTATGACCCTGTGATTCCGATTCCTATTGCACACTCACAGCTTGAAGATGACTGCCCCAGCTTCCACACAGCTCGCTCCCTCTCAGCCCTCTGGGCTCAGTTCTGGGCTCATTAACCACAGTGTCCTGAAGAAGTCCCTAGCTTACCTCCAATTTATTTTCTTATCACTGTGTGAAATTCTTATGTAATCCTTCTTTTCTTGTGTGTTGATTACTCTACAACAAAGTCCCTGAGAACAAATACCTTATCTAACTTTTCCCCTTTTCTATCCCAGAGCCCAGAACAGTGCCTGGCCAGGGTAAGTGTTCAAAAGATGCCCACAGAATGATGGACTCAATCTCCATGTGGCGGTCAGTAGCACTGAAGCACATGGCTGCAGTGACACAGCACTAAGCAGAAATGCATACCTCAATGTATTTCCAAAGGAAAAGAAAGGAGAAATCCCAGGTGGGATGGCACAATTCTCTAGCCATGCCTCTGCTTACTCTAGGGCATAGATTCCACCACAGCCTTAGACTGTACAGTGGAATCAGAAGCCAGGATTCCAACTCACTTAGCAGGGCACAACTATATAGTTTGAGTGTGTCCCCCAGAGTTGGTGTGCTTGGAGCTTGGTCCTCAGTGTGACAGTGTTGGGAGGTGTTGTGGCACATTTAGGATTCTCTGGGGCACTGCTTTGGGGAGGTATTAAGTCATTTTCATGGAACCCTACTAGTTCTCAAAAAAAGATGTCATGAGAGAATAACGGCCCCTCCCTGCTCTCTCTGGCCTGCATATGCTATCCCCGCTCACACATGGTCTGCCATTATGATACCATTACCCCAATGTGATGAAAAAGGCTGGTGGTAAGGGAGAGAGGTGTCATCAGAACTGATGCTGTGCTGTTTGAACTTCCAAAAGTGTAGCTAAATGAATCTCTTTTCTTTATAAAGTACTCACACTCAGGTATTTTGTTACAGAAAGCTGACCATCACTCAAGACGGTCTCACTGTTACTTAAACTATAAATCTTCCAGCTTGACTAGACCCATCAAAAATTCTGTGCTTTATGAAAAAGAGACATTCTCCAAGACTACAAGTTCCACGAAAGCAAATACTTCATTTCACTTCCCACAAAATACCCACAGCCTGCACAGACTTTCACAGAAGTGTCCAATGAATACTAGTAGAATGAACACATACTGGTTTTGATGTAAACTTCTTAGCTGTTAAAGAATATATTGATGTTTTAAAATCATCCACTAGATGGCAGTGTTGTTCCACATAGGTGCCCTGTGATTTCTATTTTTCATGGATTTAGGAATGAGCTCAAACTAAATCAGAGCCCTGCAATCAAGGATAATCAAAAGTATCAGATTTCATCAAAGATGTACCAGGTATTTAATGATGTCCCTAAAAGTTGATTTTTAATAAATGTAAAGGAAATCATCCCTAAATAGCTGGAACACCTTAAGCAAATCACTTGACCTCTACAAGGAGCTCAGATCCTTCAAGGAGGATTGTACTGGATGATCACCCAGGTGCCTCCCTCTCTCTGGTTCTGTTTTCATGACAATGGTTCTGAATAAGAATGACTAGCAAGGTTCAGAGCCTCAAGACCCTTCCTGAGAGAAGAACAAACTGGGTTAGTAGAGCTCCCACCCAGGTGTCAGCATGAACTAGCTATTTGGCAGGCAATTTACCAGCACCAAGCCTCAGTTTTCACATCTGTAAAGTAAGTTGATACATCTATTCCTCATAGGGTGGTTGTTAGGATTCAAGAAGATTCCATATGAAGTTCCTAGGGCATAAATATGCATTCAATAATGTCTGCTGCTACTGTGGGTGGTGGTGACAGTAGTTTGTTGCTGTGGCTGTTAGGACTTTTATTGCATATATATTCAGTCCAGGTATAACTAAAAAGCAATGCTTCAGAGCTGACCTGAGCAGACAAGGACTTGCAAGAAAGACCTGGAGCCCAATCCTTTCCTTCAAAATACTTAGAAAGCATGAATGGGCAAAAGGCAGAAACACAAAGGACGATAACAAAAGGGCATAAGGAAAAATGTGCACTGAAGTACAAAAGTGGCACAGTTAGGAACCGTGTCATCCACTGTGGGTACAGGGGGTAGAGAGAAGCAGGCCAGTTAGAGCGATAATATGTTACCTTTGTGCAGCACCTACAGTTTGACTTCTCATCCATTAAGTAGTCAGAATGGGTATTGTGTGAGTGTTTTACAAATAAAGGAACTAAAGCTTAGAGTGTCTAAGTAATTTGTCCCAGGTCACACAGTGAATACATGTCCAGTGTTCTGGTCCCTACACTGTGACAACTCAGAGAAATATTGCATTGAAATGGACCTTAAAAAAAAATGTTGGATTCATCCCAGGCCAAGACAATAATATCACACCAACAGGACAACAGGAACACCACACCAAAAGGACAGCTGCGCCCAACACTGCAGGTGCCAGAGTGTCCAGACATCTGCTCAGCTCTCAGTGCCTGCATGAACAGTTCATGGTCATCCTAAACATAATGTGAAACCATGTAGATATGGCAGAGCTGGACAGAGCTGGTCATTGTCAACTACAGCCACAAAGCCTTTCCTGAACATAAATCAGTTTCCAAACCCTAAATGTCAACTAATGCTAGAAGAATGAAAACTAAAAAGTGAGGGTAGCAGAGCTAAATGGCATTTATTAGTAACAATCCACATGTCCTTGGCCATCTTCTAGTGACTCCATTTTGAACTGGAGTTCTTATTATCAAAGAACTGGTTGGTCGAGTAGTGTTAATGCTTTTGCAGAAATGGGGATTGAACCCCAGGGCCTTGACCACGGTAGGCAAGCACTCTCCCACTGAGCTACACCTCCAGCCCTACAAAATTGGTTTAAAACCCATTTCAAAGCAAAGAATCCTGAGAACACCATACTGCTATCTAAAGATGTGTAAGAAACCCTGATTAGGAGGAGACTGGACTCAACCACCTCCTAAGTTAACTTCAGCTCTCAACATCTGACCCTACCATCTTCATATGACTTTAACCTGGCACAAGTACTGGCTCGGTCTCTGCTCTAAATGAGGACCTGAAAGTCAAAGCTTTACTTTTCAGTCACATGAGGAGAAAGGTCAGGCAAACTATTAGGATTTAGGTGACATTTGTGAAGCCAAATTTTGAGTTCCACTAGGAAACTGCCCTGTCTTCCAGAAACATAAATTCACTCACCCTGCAAATCATCACAAACTAAGTGGTGACAGCACAGTGACAGCAAAGCTGCCTTTTCTTTTCGGGTAACCTACTTTTAAAAAGACCCCATGCAAACCTAGAAGAACCAGGAGCAGATCAAAGACTATTTTCTCAAAACAAGTTTACCACAGCTCAAAATCTATGTATGACAACATGATAACTGTTAAAACAAAAAAAGAAAGGAAAAGACTAAAGTCAAGTACTAGATTGAAATAATTTTAAAAATCAATATTAAAGGGCTGGGGATATGGTGCAGTGGTAGAGTGTTCGCCTGGCATGCATGAGACCTTGGGTCCAATACAGAGTGTGCGCGTGTGTGTGTGTGTGTGTATTAAGGAAGAATGTCCCAAGTGTTTCAAATGCCAACATTGTGAATCAGTGATACGACGCAGCAGGTCAAGAAGGAAGGCTGCATTAAGGCTAACGGTGAGAGGAACAGGAAGGTCTCAGCTTGAAATGAAGAGGTGCAATCTAGCTTTGAGGGTGCCCACCCAGGAGGTGGTAGCCTTGGGTGGTAGTATGTTCCTCAGCCACAGCTGGATGCTGAGCCACAAGTGTGGGTGGGATAGGGAGTTACAAAGGTAAAGCAGTAGATGAGGACTTGGGTTTAAGCTTCTGGTTTCCAAGGTCTCTTCCAACCCTAAGATTTTCTGGCAAAGAGCAAACAGCACATATCCACAGTAACATGTAAAAATCTAACACTCTGTTCTGGTATTCATCACACTTCTTACCTCTTGTAGCTGAGATTCTTTCTTTTTAGATGACAAATTCAAGTGTTTTTCTAAGATGCCACAATACTTCTCTGTCTCTTTGTCATACTTCTTTTTGGCTTCCTGGCAAAAATGAGAGAGAAAAAGAAAAAGTTACCATTGCAGGAGTAAAGCAGCTCAGTCTCTCCAGGCTGCCTGCTGCTCTCACAGCCTTGTCATCCCAGCACAGATCAGGAGACAACTCCACATGGCCCCTATCCTTAAAAACACCCATTAGGCCACTCCGCTGTAGCCCCACAGGCTTGAGCATCTATGACAGAGTCACCAGCACAGTCCCAGAAACATGGTCAATGCCAGCATTCAGTAATGGCAGAGCCAGAATTCCACCTTCTAAGAACTTTAATTGGGGGGGCTTGGCAGGAGTAGGTAGGAAGTTCAGCGTCTGCTTAGCATGCACAAGGCCCTGAGCTCCTGTCCCAGTACCAGGGGTGGGGACGAGGGGAACACCTTCAATTGAAGACCAAATTTCTATTCTCTAATTCACACATTCGTAGCCAGAGACAATGGGAGGTCATCCATGAAGATAATGTAGGGAAGGGAGACCTGCCTCCATCCTAAGTACGACTAGTCTAGACTAAGGCTAAATGGAACCTTAATACTCTTTACTACAGGGACTGAGCTACCCTGTGATCCCAGAGCACCACAAACAGGTCTCTATGCCAAGAAAGAACCCAAAACAAAGATGGATTCTTCACAACTGTGTGACTGAGGACAGCAAAACAAAAACAAGAGGCAGAGGCACAGTCACTGCCCAAGGATAGGGTTGGTGATAATTAAGTGCTTGGTGTATCATGATATCAGGAAAAGTTCAGAAGCATGATACAAACTGGGGGCATCCCATGCAGGTACCTACCTACCTGTGGACGAGGATAAAAGGCTATACACTTAATGAAACCACAAGTTAAGGAAATGGAATAATAGGATTTTTTTCCCTCCCTTTGGGAAATTCTGATGAGACTAAGTTACTGCCTTCAAAACGAAAAATAATTATAGTAATCTACATATTAATCCCTGTTCCCACAGCAAGGCCTTGAGTCACTGAGATTCTATTCTTATCCCCCATTTTTACAGATAAGAAAAGTTAAGACCCAGAGAAGTAACTAGTAAAACTCACAGAGAGTGACAGAGCTGGGATTTGAACCCAGGAGAACACGCCTTCAAAGTCCACACTTTCTACCACCTTTGAGACGTGCTCAGGGTGGTCTCCTCTCAGTCCACAACCACTGAGGTGGCAGGCAAGGGGGCCGGAGGGAAGCTGGTGCTGGTCCAGTACAGAGGCTCCAGTTCACCAAGTTCATCGCCCCCGTCTACAGGAGCCGAGGGGAGCCCGTGGAGACACTGCTATATAACTCTAAGAGCCCGGTATTTTCTAGTCAGATAAGGAGGCTCAGAGACTCTTCATTCATCTAACAAATTTATGATGAGCAACCACTCTGTTTTAGGCTCTCCTTCAGGTACTGAAAATACAAGACAGAAGTGGCCCCTACCCTCATGGTTCTAGTAGAAAAAGAAACACAATTAACCAATAAACAAATGAGCAGCATAATTGCAAGTGTCACAAAAAAAATAAACAGAGTGTGGTCACAGTGATCCTTTAGATAGGGTGCTCAGGAAAGCCTCACTGGGGAGGGAAGATGTGAGCTAAGTCCTGCTGAACACAGGAAGGGACAGAGTAGAGGTTTTAGAGCAAGAGTAAGTGCAAAGGCCCCAGAATACTAAGCAAAGAAGTGATCATCCAAAGCCCTGACAAGCTCCTGCATTTATCTGGTTGACGCAAGATATTAAGCCGCACAGAGTGACATGCACCCATTTCTACAAATCTGACTTTTGCTTTAACAACCACTTACATATAAGAACTATGAAGCATACAGAAGCAAATGAAGACAAAGCCTGAGGACACAGGGCTCCTTCATATTTGAGGAGGGTACAGGCAAGCAACTCTTCTCCTTTAGAGAAACCAGGATCTTCAAGCTGGGCTCCAACTCCAATTGCTGCTCACGTATATCCCCTCCCACTAGCCTTGTCAGCAACCCTAAAAAGAACCCAAGGGCCAGAACAGTTCAGCTGGCCAGAGGTGAGAAAAGGCCAGGGAACATGAGTCACTGGCATTCTGTGACTTTCTGGCCACTCAAGCTTCCACATTCCATGTTCAAGAGGACAGCCAAAGTTAGAGCAAAGGATAACAAGAAAGGAAAGAAAAAGAGAGATGGAAGCAGTTTCTGTTCTGAGAAAACAGCAAGAGACCTCTACAGGAATAACTCTGAGACCTAGGTAATGGTCTTAGAGGGGAGGGTGTTATTACTCAGGAACTCAGGACACAAAATGGTTTTCACCCTCCAGAGAGGACAGAGCCAGGGTCCTGGCATTTACTTCCAACTCTGTAGGGACTCACTCTAAACAAATCACTCTAAACAAATCACTCAATTATCTCATTCATTGATAATTAATAATTGTTCAGGTTTTGTCTTGTTCAAACACTATTTAACAAAATAAGGAGAAGAACACACCCTCCTCATAGGATTGTTAGGTAATCTCATTTAATAATGAGACAAACCACATACAGGAAAGGGCCTGGTGTATGAGAAGCACGCAATGAATTTCAATGACAGTGATGAGCTTGTTGTCTGTACCTATCTCCTTCCCATCGAGAACACCACTTGCCTTGCATGTCCCATTGTTCCACAAAGACAATCCTTCTGAGCACCTATCATAACCTGAAATGATTCGGTGTTTTGTTGTTGGTGGTGGTGATGGGTTTTTGTTGTTGTTGTTGTTGTTGTTGTTTTTGTCTAACTCCTTTTTCTCCAGCCACACCACAAGCCCACAACAACATCTGCCTGTTATCCACCAAACATCAACGCATAGCAGCACAGGACCAGGCACAAAGCAGGGTCTCACAAATATCCTTAAGGAATGAACCCTGTCTGTCTAATTTAATGGCCAATGTCACATGACTAAATGACAGGCACTGTTCTCTTGTCCAATTATTACATGACAGATACCATTTTAAGCACTTTATATGAGTTCATTCATTTCTTCTTCATAATAACTATGAGGTAAGTTCTATTATTATCCCCATTTTACTGATTGGGAAGTACACATGAGGAGGTCCAGCAAGTCTCCCCCAAGTTCACATGCAAGTGGTAGAGATGAGATTTGGAATCATGCAGCCTAGCACTAGCCTCACTCATTCCTCCCCATATACTGGGGATTGAACTCAGGGGTGCTCGACCACTAAGTCACATCCCCAGCCCTTTTTATTTTTTGAGACAGAGTCTTGCTAAGTTGCTAGGGCCTCACTAAGTTGCTGAAGCTGTCCTTGAACTTGAAATCCTCCTGTCTCAGCCTCCTAAATCACTGGGATTACAGGTGTGTGCCACCACATCTGGCACTAGACACCCTCTTAACCACTACTCTCTACCATTTATTCTACTCACCTTATAGATTCCACACTCCAAATCTACCTCTGGAACAGGGAAAATTAACTTCTTAAACTTAGAAATAGCAACTTAGGACCATTGTTAAGAGAAGCTTCAGGGTCATGCCTACTCCTGAGCAGTCACACTAGCACAAGAATTCCCAGAATCCCCCACTTCCTGGCAGCCTTCACAATGAGTACTCTGCAACAGGTTGTTATAGCAACCAAAGCAGCACCCGAGAGGAGAGAAGGAGGGAAAAGTAATTTTAGCATCACTTGCAGGGTTCAGGAACCTCTCTTCTTGGCCACTGAAAAAATAGCTAAAGAATACTTGCTGGCTCTTAGGTATTATTGACAAGGCACCCGCCCCCATGTGAATTTGTTGTTTATTTTTTTTAATTTACATAGCACTATGATATAAATGCATGGGTGTGTGCAGTGATGGAGAAGATATGGGTCAGGGGGAGACAATGGAGAATGGTTGAGAAATCACCCAAATGCCACTCAAATAACTTGGATGACTGATGATTATTAATAATTTAATGAAGGAGAGAACACAGTATGATGCTGGGTTGAGTGACTATTTCATTTAAATTCTTTTATTCTTACAGCAGGTCCCCACGACTCGCCGCTCCTCTCATGAGGATCACTGATCTTAAATCCCAAGGGAGCCCACTCAGGCTTCTGCTTCTCCCTGGTGACAGTGGTAAACCCCCAAACAATGTGAGGCAAGAGGCCAGAGTGAAAGGCATCTGTGCCTAGAAGAAGTAACTCCTAGAAAGATGACTCAATATGCAGGTCCTCCTGCCTATGCCTCAAAGCTCTCCCCTGAGACCTTGAGAAGCCAGCACTGTACATGCCATAGGAAAGCACAGGCCCCGAGGCCCCAAGAGTTCACTCACCAGCAAATTCTCAGCCCTCACGGACAGTCCAAAGTCCTGGACAAAATCTTAGTACAACCAGATTTCCTTCAAATTACCCATTCCTTAATCTTTCATACGAAACTAATGAATTTCCATTGCTTTGTTAATATAAAATGAAACTGGTACACACATGCCCTAAAACTAGAAGAAAATCTTTGCCATGGTCTCTCCTTCAATCCATGGCCACCCACGGCTCTGACAGACCCTGACTAAACATCTTTTTAATAGAGATAGATCATATCTATTTCTACAAGGCAGGTGAGAGGGCTCTCACTCTACAACATTTCACTACTGTTTTCTCACCTACAATCACTTCTCAAGGACATTTCACAACTGAGTAAAATCCACTCCAAGGAAGAGGGTGGTGCAGCCCCAAACCTCCTGCAGGTGGCGTGAGGGACTGTGGCTGAACTGACCCAGGTCCAGAAAAAAAAAAAACGTGAAAAAGCCTTTTGCTTCCATTGATTCCAATCAAAACATCTTCCCTGCAGGTGGTCTCTAACACGCTACTGAAGGTCAAAGCAGCTAGGATTTCCAGTGATTTATCACAGGCGGGAAACCCCAGAGAATCCCCTCTTAAAAAACGAACTGGTTTCCCTTTGCAGTCTTTCAGTAATATATGAAACTAGCTGAGTTTGGGCTACAGTTCCTCCAGGTCAGTGATAACCCACAGAGACCTCTAGGCTGAAGCAGGCCTGCAAATGCACTTTTTGACCTACACAATGAGTAATACATATTTTCTTAAATTATTTCACAGAAGTTCTCTGGCTTTTCAGTTTCTCTTGAAATGTTTTAATATCTGGCAAAAACAAAACAAAACAAAAAAAAAGGACCCATGTCTACACACCACAAAAACTGGGCAAAAACTAAGTACCAGCCTCCTCCCCTGAAACAGATCCCTGAGCACAGGGTCTATAGTGTAACTCTGCTTAGGCCATGAGTCCTGGACTCCCTGATTAACACCATTCCACAAAAACAACTGTCCAAGCACAGTGCCATCTGAGAACACAGAGAAGGTGTAGTTTCTTCCTGTGGGTGGTTTATGAACTAGCACAAAACAATCAGGTAACGAGATACTGGAAGGGTTGCTGAGGTGGATGCTTATTCAGGGGCTTGCAAAAGAGCAGATGAGCTGGGGTCTCAGCTTATCTGTCAAAGAAGATTTTCTGAAGGTGAGCTTATGTTTTCCCGGAGGCATTCTTAGATTTTTTAAAGAAGCTCCTGTGCTTTCCAGACTTTTACCCTAAAATCCAAGAACAACGTTTGTAACATGCTCACCTTGGCAGCCCCGATTTGCTCCTTTCGAAACTTCTCCAAGGGAGTGATGAGCACCTCACTGGCATTCTCAATCTGGTGAAGAAAATCAGAGGGAGATGGGGAAGACAAAAGCAGTATCAGTAAAGAATTACGGATGTGATGGCAGCTCTGTCACAAAAGGTATTCCTATGTCTTGGGTAGAGTTAGAGTAAGCAATACCATCTACATGTCACCATTTACAAAACTTGAACTGATGGCACAACAATACAAAAGCTAGTCACTGTTCAAAACGTGAGAGTCCTCCTGTGCATGATTAAAATTTGTTCTTTAAAAGGGAAAATGGAAATGCCTAAAAGTGTCAGCAACCTTCTGAAGGCAAAGGAGAATGGTGACAGTACAGTCTTAAGTTTCAAGCTTAGGTGACATCTTCTTATAGATGCCCATGCATCAAAGTTACAGGTAAAGCAGATCAACAGTGAGTCCAGGTAAAAAAAGAAACAAAACGCCTTTGGACATCTGCTGTCACAAGAACCTTTCAGTCCTGATGCTATGTCACCCCAGTACTGTAACCAGGATGTCTGCACCTCCTGACCACTGTCTACTTCTCAACACCATCTCCCAGGGCTCAGCCTCAGCCCTGCACTCCAGGCCACCACCACCCCAGTGCACCTCCAATGTGCCAATCTTAACCCACCTCTGGCCCTCTGCCCCTGGCTATTCCCTCAGATGTTCTGTCCCCAAACCCTTGCACAGATGACTCCTTACTGTAATATTAGGGTTTTAGCTTAAAGGTCATCTTTTTAAAAGGGAGGCCTTCCATGACACCACTGTCACCCAAAGAAGCTATCTGCCATCCCACCACATGTTTTCTTCAGAACACATATGCCAGGTGGTGTTTTCTGGCTCAGCACTGTACATGTTCTCTCTCTCTCTCTCTCTCTCTCTCTCTCTCTCTCTCTCTCTCTCTCTCTCTCTCACATACATACACACTCACACACATACCGTCTTGTAAACACTCACTTGTCTACCACTCTCCTCAAAGCCCAGAGGAGTACTGAAACAAAGGAGCACTCAGACACTTTTGAATGACTAAATGAATGATGTCTTGACTAGCTGCCAACTGTGTGACCATGGGCAAAACATTTAACCTCTCTGGGCTCTAATTTCCTCATTTGCAAAATGAGTGGGTTGAACTGTTCCAGCTCTGAGACTCCATGGTCTTTTCTAAGGCAGTGCAATATTTTACAGTCTTTCCTTTTAAGTCACTCATTGCTCACTCTGTGTTCAACTAGTTATTTCAGGAATCTCTTTACAACAAAGTATTATTTTTTCTAAATCATATGCAAGTCCTTCACAATGAAAGCAACTCAAATGTGTGCCAGAAGCCTTAGATGGACACTGTAGAGAACTTCCCGGACACTATGAGGGAAGATAAAAAGGCAGGTCTCCAAAATTTATTCCTATTTGCCTTTTTCTTGATTTTGAAAGCACTTATTTCAGCAGAGTGCATTTTAACAATGGAGTGTTGCAACAGTATTGAACTTGTTTGATTTTTATTGTTATCTGGTGTTGCTTAATTGGTTGGCTTGATCAAATCTTTTCCACAAGTCAACTGTGAGTCCCTGAAGATTATAATGGTATGCCAAGCCCCTGGGTCAGTGATTCTCAACCTTAGCTGCATGTTAGAGCTACCAACTAAGAATCTCTGGATCAAATCCCAGACATCAGTATTTCGTAAGCTCCAAGTTATTCCAATGGGCATGGTCACTGAGGATCTGGTCCTACGCAGCTTATTCTATGAAGGCACTCAACTGCTCATGTGGGAAGCAAGACACCCAAGTCTTGGTCCCCATCCTACTCCTACCTGTGATCAGCCTTGATATGACACGTTTCCTCATCTGTCAAATGACAAATTGCAGATGGTGAGGAATACAGTCTCTCTGGCTCTGAGAGTCTATGACTATAACTTCCATCAGTTCCAAGCACTGAGCTTGATGCTGGGGACCCAGAAGCCCATTGTCTGCCCTTGAGGAAAAAACTCCTATTGACTATGGGCACAGACATGTACAGTGATTATCAGGACCCAATGTGGTAAGTGCAGAATCAGAGGCATAAAATGGGTGTGCATAAAATACAAAGGACAGTCAAATATCGCAGGGAGTCAGGGAAGGCTTCCCAGAAGGGGCGCAGCTTTGCTGAGCCGAGCTGAACTGATGATGAAGCTGTCCCATGGCGAGGAGGGGTGAGAAGCTGCTGGTGATGGCCAGATACTCAGATGCAGACGGCAGAAACTCGATTCACTGACATTAATAATAAAATTGCAGAGGCAAGCTGAAAAGTATAATCCAGGCATTGTTCCCTTACCACAGGCCATCGCAATCTGCAGGGTATTCATGTTGATTTGCTCACCACGCCCCCCACCCCCAAATACTGACTTGGCCAAGAATCAGGCTCAAAAGAATCATTGCCCTTTCTCAGGCACTAGCACGAGCCCAAGCACACAGCTTCCCCTCCTCCACCACCAAGCCTATAGCCACCGCCACAACTGCCACTACCATCCTGATTCTGATTTGGGTACCCACTGGTGGGCAATCAGGAGAAACCAGGTCACCTCGCACTGCAGAAAGGGGAAAGCTTCTACTCTGTTTGGAATTTTAAAGAAATTCCCCCCATATTTTTTTGGGGGGTGGGGGTATAATGCCGACTTGGGTTTGAATTGAGACCGTATCACTTACTAACCACATGATCCTGTCTAATCACTTAATCACTGTAAATCTCAGTATCTTCATCTGAAAAATGGGGACAAAACAGACACCATGTCACAGAGTCCCCATGGGAGGTAAATAGAACAGACAATGTGAAGTGCTTGGTTGAACAATGCCTTGGTAAACTTAATACTCACATTAACAGCTGTTGCTATGGGAAGAGAAGAGAAATGCTCAAATTTTGGTATCTTCATTAATCCTCAGGAGCACGGCTGCCTGGAGACAGTCTCCCTAGGGACAAACCAGCGGGCAGCCTGCAGGGGATTTCTAACCAGGTTTCATTCCCAACATCTGAGGTATGTGGGAGAAGATGCATAGGCACTTCCTGTGGGTGTGGAATCTCTTCTCCATTACTACTGAACCCCAATAGAATAAGTGTCCTGTAATAGAACTTAGGAACTTAGAGATCAGCATTTGATTCTGGAATTTGCACAGCATTTCTCTTTGAAAAGCTCATTGTAATTACCATCATTTACTAAGTGTCATTTACTGGGGCCAGCTACATGGTAGGTTCTATGTTAGGTGCTTTGGAATTAAGTGAAGCACTAACTCATGTCCTTGAAGGACACTTGGATAGGTTCAATAAAATGTGGGGAGAAGGAGCAGAGTAGGATATCATCTTTCTTATTCTGTTGGTGATAAATCTGAGGCCCTCAAAAGTTAAATTATTCAATAGTTCCACCCTTAAGACTTGTACCTTATGTGTGGACCTCACAGTAAATCTTTGGATAGACATGATGCTGTTCAGAAGTTGTGTACAAGTGATCCTTTAACACTTATAAAAGGCTTCATCCTCCCAAGATGAGGCCTGCTCCAGATCGCAAAGCACCCCAGGGGCAAACACTGGACTCAAATCCAAGTCTTCTAATAGCAAATCCTTTGCTCCCTCGATGTGCACACACTGGGACCAAGAGCAGCCCGGCTATACTCACCATCCGTATCCGTTCATCTTCAAGATTCCTGAGGACAGTGGCAAACTCCTGCAAAGACCTTGCTGGAAGACAGAAAGGGGCCATGAACCAGAAGAAGAGTAATGGGTCTTCAGGAGCCTTTCCAGCTCCACTATGAAGCTATGGATTTCAATTTAGTGTACACACAGATGTCTGAAGTCAATTGCTTCCTCAGACTTCCCTTATCTTTTAATCATTAACCATTCAGGATAAGATGACCCAGAAGTGCAGGTTAATTGCATCTGGCACTCTAGCTAGGGAAGGATTTCTCTAAGGAAAAGACCCGCCTGTTCCTGAGAGTCCCAGGACTGGTGAGATGCTGGCAGGCTCCCAGTCCCCAGGCTGGACGGGGCAGAGTTCCGCTCAGATTTCCTGTCCAGAATTCAACCTCCTCAACCTTTGTCATGGGGTTGCGTCAGAGCCCAACCTTTTCTTTGGCACCAGAACTAAATAAATAGTGCTGCTGGCATCAGAAGCCACATCACTGGCATCTCCTTGGGTTCTTGCTCTCTGAGTCCTCAAGCCACTCATTAATAGAATGCAGCATGCAGCGTGACAATAAGTAGGCACTGAGTAGAGTAGCCCTGAGGGTCCTCAGGTCACTTGTGCAACTTTGGGAAAAGCAGCCATCCATTCATGATTTACAATGATGCATTTTAATTGGTCTTCCAATTATCTATGCTTGTTCCCAGGTCCTGGTGCTCCACACAGCAACAGAACTCAAAAAAACAGTTGATGAATTAAGTGACTCACTATAACTTTTCTCAATTCTTTTTTGTGTGTGTGTGTGTGCTAGGGATGGAACCCACAGCCTCAAGCATGTTAATGCACATGCTCTACCCATGAAACTACAGCCCCAGCCACAACTTTCTTTTTTTTTTAAATATTTTTATTGGTTGTTGATGGACCTTTATTTTATGTATTTATTTACATGCGGTGCTGAGAATCCAACCAGTGCCTCACACATGCTAGGCAAGCACTCTACCACTGAGCCACAACCCCAGCCATCCAACTTTCTTAATTCTTGTTCCCTTAATAGAGTCAACCAATATACCCAATGTGAAAAGAATGAAGTCTAATAATGAGACATCCACAAAGAAAGCTGTCTTGACCTTGCCTACCCTCCAAGCTCAGGGCTGCCTACAAGAGAAGGCAAGTGACATCAGGGGTGGAGCAGCACAGCACCCTGAGAAACAGGAATGCACCACACCCTGCAGCCTTTTGGTAAGGAACAAAACAAATGGGGATCCTGGTGAGCTGGACCCTGAGCTCCTCTCCCCATCTGAAGGTAGTGACAGCCACGCAGAGCTCCAGCCAGTGGCTACCAGGCCAGAACACAGGGCCAGGAGATGGATTCTCAAGCTTTTCAAAGAAGCTGGGAAACTGGGATTTTAGATAAATTCTATTTATATGATGACTCAATTAAAAAAAAAAAAAAACTCAGAGCCAAAATAAAGGCTGTATTCTGATCTCACCCTGTGAACTATCATTTTGCAACCTCTGGTATAAGTCTCCATTCATCTACCTGCATGTACTTTTGCACTACAGTTCTTAGCACTATTGTTTGGGGACAGAGGGGAAGGACACAAAACCAGCAGGAAGGAAAACATTAAAGAACAGTGGAAAGGACAGTCCCACTGCATGATCTTAAGCTTCTTCAGCACACTGGAAATGAGTGGGGCAATTCCAGAACTTGTGGCAGCCCAGCGTAGCCCAGGCCCAACCCTCACACATCTCTGCCCCACCACTCCCTCCGGCGTCTTGTGTCTTTACTAACCTTCAGGCCTCCTCTCCTCTTTTCTTTTTTTTTTTTTTAAGATTTTTATTGGTTGTTGATGGACCTTTATTTTATGTATTTATTTACAGGCAGTGGGACACCAAAAGCTACGACCAACAGCACACGTTTTTATCTTCCACAAGGTTATGACTTACCTATACACATCTCATCATCTGTTTCTGCATCTCCTATGCATTGAAATTTAAATTCATTTAAGGAATCTGCAAACTTGCGCTTCGCTGAAGACAAATCTAGCAAGAAAAAAAGGAAAAAACTGAATTACTGAAATTAAACTGGCCTTCTCAGTCGCTGTTCTTTTTAGTCCTTCTATGAAAATAGCAGCAAGCAGATTTGTTCCAAAGACCATTTGGGGGAACAAATGAATGCAATCTTAAAGTAGTAAATATTTGTTTATAACATGAAACTGATTTGCTCTAAAAGTTCGTATTTTTGTTACATGTGATTCTAACGATTCTAATCCAACCTCTACTTCCTCCTGCCACATAGCAAGTTCTGTCATCTTCATTTGACACATGTGGGAATCTGTTTGGCCCAGGTCAGGGAGGAAGCCTGGATCACAGTCCAAAGCAGTCTCTGCAGCCTGAAGTTCCACCCTGCCAAACCCGCCACGTGGTCAGCACAGCTGCCCCCATGCCTGTCTTAAGGATACTTTCCCCTAAGCCCAACCTCAAGTGGGGAGGGAGCCCTAGGAAAGCTAAAAGCAAGGGCCTGGAGCTGTGGGGCCCCATGGCAGAAGCAGCACTTGACCTTCGTCTTCCAACCTAGGCACACACAGAGCTCAGGTTCTCAGACCCTCTCCATTCTCCTCATGAGCCCAGTGCTGGGCCAGCCAGACAAATTCCCACCTGAGCCATTTCCCTGGGTGGCCATATCCACCGCCACCAGAACAAAGTCCTGGCAACATTTTATAATGGGGTAAAAACACACCCCACACATGGTATCTATAATGAAAACTCTCAGAGGCCCTTGTCAAATTTTAAAAAATAAGCTTTCATTTAAGACAGTAATAAAAGCCAATGATCCTTCCTGAGCCCTCAGCTTCTGTTAAGGGTATAAAACCACGAAGGTACCTTTAAGTGGCCTAACAGACAAGGCTGCTCAGTGCAAATGTGCTTAACTTAATTCCGTACACAGCCTTCCTGCAGATTAGGCTAATCATTCAAATTACCCTTCTCCAAGCTTTCCTCACTGAAGGGGAAATGGCATTATGTTCAAATTCCCAGAGGAGGGAAACATGAGGCAAAACTGGTAACAAGGCCTGGCTTTAATAAGACACGGGCTGGGAGGAGGGCGGTCTTCTAGCTTCACAGATCAACACAGCCTACTAAATAAAAGCATCATGGTCCTCAACGTTTCTCTTTCTTTGCTCCCATTTTGTCCCTTAGAGTCAAGGGGTCATGTTTTTCATCTTCTGATTTTGTTTGGTTTGTTCTTTCTTCTTGCACCTGGCAGGGCATCCTGCTCAGCCTGTGCTGAATAAATGCAGAGGGAGTCATGGCACCCAAACCCCATCCCCAGCATTCCTCCCAAGCAATGGCTGCTCGGGAAAAGCCAGGCTCAGGCCTTGCTGCTATCCTCAAGTCCAGGGCTCAAGCTACTGCATGGAGCATGGACCACCCTCCCACAAAGTCAAATGACCCAGGTTCTGAGCTAACAAGGGCTTGTGCAAAGCACTTTGTTCTACAGTGCAAGACATGACACTTGGGGTGAAAAAGGGGAACACAGGAGCCAACTTCCAGTCCCTCTCTGGTTCAGTCACTTGGTCCTAGACAAAAAGTCAAAAGATGCTGGAGGGGAAGCAGGCTTCTCTCACAACTGGCCATTCCAGGCAGAGGACAGCCCTCAGAACACAAGCCACCCTCCAGCAAGTCAAGAAGAACAGAAGCATCTGGAAGTCAGAACACTGTAGGGAGGAAGGAAAGGGGCAGCCCCAGGCAGGCAAGAGCAAACAAGGGAGAGTGGTGTTTTAGAGTGAAACAGGAGCCCTCCAAGAGGACATCCAATGTGCACTGAATTCTTTAATCTGAATGTTCCTCAACCAGAACACACAAAGAAAGGCTGAGTGAGGAGTAAGAACAGCTCTGCCCCTGCATCCACCATCCTCCTGGGCCTCCCCAAGAGGGCGAGACAGACTCAAGTTGGACCATCATCTCGACAACACGAAAAAAATGTGAAACATAAGCCAGGCTTGGGAAAGATTCCAGCAGGCACCTGAAAGGCTGTGCTGCCAGGGCCAGCCGCCAATGCAGACCGAGGAGCAGCTAATAATAATGCACAATGGGGCTTTGTGGGGTCTTTTCACAGGAAGACCCATTTCACCTGGGAGCTCATGACCAGAAGGTAACCTGAATTCACTGTCCAGTGGCTCAGAGCACACTCTGCCACTGCAGAAGCCTGAGTAGCACTGCAGATTGGAGGGACCAAAGGGCCTCGTCCCTTAATGGAAGACTGGGGATGAGTGCTGCTATGGAGTCAGTACTGGGCTCTGAGCCAATGAGGACAGCTGGGGTGAGTAAGAGCCCCAATCACTGGAACCTGAAATGTTCTCACCTCGGACTTAGAGAAAACTTCCAGGGAAGCTACAGTAGACACCTGTTGTTTTCTTGTTCAGAATCCATAATCCAGACGTTGGGACCACATCTCAAGCCTATTTGGGAGAACCTCCCTTCTCTATTTGCATTCTATGGGGTACCGGTTATAGGTTGATCAACCCCAACCTCTTGCTCCAGCCCCAGCCCCCACTGGCTCCTGGGTTCAAGTTCCAGCTCCACCACTTATCAGATATAAAACCCTGGGTCAAGTCTCAGTTACATCATCTGAAAGAAGCCTCAGGTGGGCTGGACACTCTGGACAGGCACTCTACCTACCACAAGATTCCTCTTTAGGCTAAAGCTGTGCTACTGTCTCCGAATATATGAATCCTTCAAAAATAGGCCCCACTGGGGAGAAGCATGATTATTCACGTGTAGAGCTCAGAGAAGCTAAAGGACTGACATAAGAACACACAATCAGACAGAAGACACCTATGACTCCAGTGTTCTCAGAACTGAGACCCTTGTAGCATCTGGCAACAATAAGTTAGCTCACCCCATTAATCCATTTTGTTCCCCTGTCCCAGATGTAATATGTAATTATAATGTAATTATATGAATAAAATTATAGCAATATTAATTAATTATATAAACTCTACATTATGATTTTCAATGTACTTTTATGTACCTGTGTCGACTTTGTTGAAATATTCACAGAACTGAAAGCTTGGGACTTAATGGGTTAAGATAACCCCTCTGTTACTTGGGACAATGGAGAAGGCATCAGAATGAGAATACTCAAAAACCATTGCTTCTGACCTAATTCAACCCAAAAGCATTGGTGATGTCTTAGGTAAATTATCACCCTGGATGTGCAACTCATCCAATGATTCATTTCTGCAGCTTTTGCTCTGGTGGGCACAGGATTCTATAACATGCATATTCCAATGAGGAGAAGGGCGGGAGGGGCTGGCACTGAGGCTGGAGCATGCCAGGCATCATGGCCCCACTCACATAACCTCACTGTTTCATGTTGAAGTGGTGCAAGAACAGCAAGGAGCCCTGCAGAGCCAATAATGTTTACTTTGCAGAACATCTGTTGCTAGAAAAGCAGAGTGTTGTCCAGAGTAGAGCAAAGTGGTCAATGCCCACATCCGGGGAAGACAAGGCTCTTCTTCTATGAGCGAGGAGAACAGAAAGGCAAGGACATGGAAGCAGCTAGAAATCTGGCCTTGTAAGACTGCTCCTAAAGCCATCTGGTCACTCAGGGTCCAGAGGAAAGTACCCTTCCCTTCCTGAAGATGCCATGCTTTGCCTCAGCAAATACTAATTTGCACAGAATTTAAGAGAATTTAACCCAAATGTGATCCCTCTTTCACTAAGGAGAAGATTTATCACAATTTTTAAAAACTGAAAATCTGCCTTAATCTTATGCAAATTTACAGGAAATATTGCAAATCAAGACATTTCCTTTGACTCCACAGGGAAAACTGAACAGAATTGTGCACACACAAACAGGCACGCATGTGTATACCCACATAATAAAGAACTCAAGATAACATTACAATTTTATTTCTTTTCAGTGGATCTACTGCCTTTCTGGGCCATAGTTACCCAAATTGCATATAAGCATCCTTAATATTTTCTGCTACTCAGTCACATTCTTCTCTCTAGATTTAGAAAGTGATTGCAGTTAATAAAGACCAAGGGCAGAGGTAAGAACTTGCAAAAGGATTGGCCTCTTGGCTGCTTTAAGAACAAGAATACCACAGTCCCCAGCCCTTGCTGATCTGTCCCTTCTTTCAATGCCAATCACACTCACTCTCTGGGCCTCATTCTGAAACTCCATGTCATAGAATACAAAATGTGCCTAGCACAGGGCTGGACAGTGACTCTCAAAATCTGCTGTATGGGCCAGGCACAGCAACACATGTTGGCTTAGAGGTAGAGTGCCAGAGGTCATCACAGAGGGCCCCTGACTCAGAACTGAGAGACAAACACAAGTTCTCCAAAGACTCCAGTTTACTACACATCCCCATTCCCAGGAAAGCCCTACATACTCAAAACCAAAGTCTCTCCTCACCTCTTCTCCTCCCCCAAAGAGCCAGTTAACAGTGAGGAAGGGCATCACCTGACCATCTGTCTTGCCACACATTTTGACACCTGCCTATCATCTTTGATGGGTGGTCTACTTCATGCACAATGTCCATTCCCAAGCCTGTCCATTTCACCTGCAAGTATCTCTCAGTTCTGCCCACTCCTCCCATCGCAAACCCTTACCCAATTAGCCCCATTTGCCTGAGTAACTGTAACTGATTCCTTTCACATGTCCCCACATCCACTTTTGTTCCTCTGGTCAGTTCTTTGCACAGTAGTTTCAGCCCTAGGATGGTTTCCCAGAGTTCTAAAAATAAAGACCAAAGCCCTTCTCCCTGAGGGGCCCTGAAGGGTGTGACCCCGCCACCTCCTTCTCTGGGCTCTGGGTGCTCTGGCCTCTGAGGCTCCTGGAGGGTATGCCACTCTGCCTGTAGTTCTCAACTCAAAAGTCCCTTTCCCCAGGAAACCTTCTCTAAGCAAGCCACAACTGACTCTGTTTCTCACTCCCTGTGTCCTATACTCCTCTTCTTTAGAGTAATTTTATATTCAGTCAGGTAATTTTTTTTCATTAATATCTCCCCCACTAACATTCCATACAGGCA